AATATCGAATAATCGATATGGAATTCTCAATCGGGAATATATGAATTTTCTATATGAAATTTTATTTATCTCCCCACAAAAATTTAAGCTTAAGCTTAAATGAAAAGCTCGTCTCGTAAGTTGGAGAGAATGGCTCTTTAAATCTTATCCGGATTCGAATGTACGATTATCGGAACAAGAAGAGTACACGGAATGGGAGGAATTGGATAAAACGTCGTTAATCGTTGAACAAAGTTGGCATTATCGCGTTAATCAGCAATGGCCACCTGATCGAAAATAAATTGTCGGGAAAAGAGTATACGGCGACGCGTTTCAACCAAGCACGAACGCCACTTTTCTTTATTGCACTTTCATACGTGTACTGGGTACGTTTCAGGGGTGTGCTCTGAAATTTACCAACCCACCTTTTACCCGTCTGGAATATATATGTCTCTATGACCATAAATAGCTGTGTATATATATATATATATGACATGAGTGCACATTATCTAGAATTATCAAGTATCGATCGAGTCTTGTCCTCGTCAATCGAGGTCAAAAATCGTTAAGAGAAAATAAACTTCGATTTCTGTCCTATTTCACATAATACAAGTTCGTTTTTATCACGTTCAAATTAAAATTGGAACGGGGATTATTATTTAAAACAGTAGAATACAAGAGAGGGAACAGACTCTTCTCACTAAATCACATCAACTTGGCGCGTACGTGTTTCGCCACCCTCATTGTACGTGCTCTACGACATTCAAGTGCCATCAATTTGCCGGTAAGTAAGTAGATTTTGGTCAATCCAACTAAATTCGTTTCTGATGTGACTACTAACGATACAACACAGTGGAATAGAATCATTTTTGTTATTGTTTACAAGGATGAAAATCGGTGAGATCGGCCAAAAAGAAGAAAAAAAAAACTCACCGTTGTACGACCGAGCAAAAAAGAAAAAGGTGTTTCACCGATTTAAGAGTTAAAAAGATTCGGTCGGTAGTCGATTGGTGGCCCAATTGTAGTCCTTATCACTAGCAATAACAGGACGCACTCTCGCGTGCCAATGATTGCATGGTTCCTAGGCGTTCTACCGTGAGCACTGCCGTTGTACTAATACTATTATGGAACCAGGTCCTTGGATCACCATGAACGTACTACCTTCTGTGCCCACCAGGAATACAGAGTAGGTTACGTACACGGTGTCAGTTGCATGTCCTAATCAGAGCTAATGTCCATTGTTCACTCACTGGACAGTACCGACAATGTTCCGAGTAATCGATCGTTTCAGAATTTAAAATCATCTAAACTTGGTTCACGTTTACCTATACACGTATGTAATTTTCTTAATATTATTTCACGTTTCGTCATCAATATGCATGCATTTAAAGATATTACGAATAATGCACTTGCATATCAATAATAAATGTATTCCAACAAGTACAAAAGTTTTCGATTTGTATTAAATTATAACGTACGACAGTAATAATTAATAGTTATGTGTAGTATCTGTATATGTAGTTCACATTACATCACGAATATTAATGTACGATTGGTTTCACGGATGACTTATAGATATTTTATTTTATAAATTATTTTCGATCGATTTGTCATAAAATAAGAAATGATGGCAAAATAATGAAATTTATATATATATATATATATTAAAAATAATAATAATAATAATAATATCATAACATTTAAAACAGTGTCTAGAAATCTTGATAAATGAAGAAACTTTGTGGAATATTTTGTCTTGTCACCTCTATCTATAAAGATTTTAATTAATTAGTATGCAAATCACAGTAAGAAAGAATTGGGAAACGAAACGAGAGTAAAACAAGAAATATCAGAGATTGGAAAAGCTACTGAAAGAAAGAAAGAAAGATGAGAAGCAAAAGCGAGTGAAAACGATGGGGTAAAAGGTAAGAGTAGGATTACTTGGCAAACTGAGAGACCCAAAGCCAGTACTGAAGCATCAGCCTCCGGCACTAGTTACACGATGACTTAGTTCAGGTTCTATCGCAATTCGCGAGTATAATGTGTATTTCGAATCTCCTGGCGTTTTCCTAAAAGATCTCTGAGTATAAATTTACTCTCTTTATTGCCTATTCTAATTCCACTAAATTTTCACCTCCGTCCACATATTTATTTAACCACTTGACATTACATAATTATATTATATTGCGTTATACGCAATTACCTCTTCCATAATATATTAATCCATGAATGATGTATTGCAGAAAATACAGTAAATTTTTAGCCATAAAAAATATAAAATATAAAAAAATAGAAAAAAAAAATATAAAAAAATTATATAAAATATAATAGAAAAAAGCATATGGCATCGCATGTTGCCACTCGTGTCTACATTTTATTTATCGCCTGTTAACCCGCCGTGACTGTGGCCGACATAATCGCACAGTCATTAAAGTCATTAAATCACTACAACCTACGTATGCTTTCATTTTTATACTCTCACCGATCTTTGGTTTGTTTTATGCATGGTTTTTCCCTTCGTTGTTACTTGTTTAGTAAATTGTATAACAATTTTTTTCGGTCAAGAAAAATATACCGGCATTATTTTTACGTTAACTAATTTTTTTTCTTAATCATATTTACACAATTTTAACTTTCAATTTTATTTTTAATTTACGAAGTAAGTTATAAAAGAAAATAAGAAATAGAAAGAATTTCGCGAAACAGCGTCATTCGTTATAAAATAATATATTATATCATTATACGCGAAGCAAACAGACTAAAGATTATAAACATAATTCGAGAAAGCTAAAAGTAGAAGTAACTTAGTGAATGTTGAATGACTCAAGTCTAATGAACGAATGAAATCTGCAAAGAAAGAACAGATAATAATAAAAACTTCGCTATCGTTTGTGCGTAGCCAATTACATTTTCCATTCTTTATTTTATTCTATTTTATTTGTATAATATCACAATATCGCAGTTGAATTCCATCGATAAAAAAAAGCATAAACTTTTAATGATAAAACAAATGTTTTTTTTATTATTATTTATTATTTTTATATTTGAATACATTTGTAAAATTAAAAATTAATATCTTTCTTTTAAATAAAAATAGTATATAAATTTTATCTATTTGACGAAACATAATTAAGAAGTTTCATTAAAATATTTTTAATTCATGATTATGTTCACAGAATCAATCTATTGGCAACTTTTATAAAAATAAAAAGATGAGATGAAATCTCATCGATCTTATACAATCTCACAATTTTATTCGAATATCAATTTCGAATATCTTTTTATCACACAAATGTATTGAAATATATTTCGCAATATTGTCGAAATATTTTCTATTTGATAAATATTTATATATTATATTATATATTATGCATAATTTATAATATATAATTTATAATTTATAATTATGCATTACGATTTGAATTAAAAAATTTTGAAAATAATAATTTATGCTGATCCTTAGATTTTAATCATTAATTAATCGATAACTAATCATTGACTGACTAAAATAAAATTAAAATATACTAATATCTTGACAATATGAAATTTTTTCATATTACGATATTAACAATAAAAAATTTGTTTATTATGTAATTATTAATAATTGAGCTGAATATAATTTCAAAATTGACTATAATAAACTATAATAAACTAAAGATATAGAAAAAAGAAATATATATATATAATAATTTTTTTCGAAATCGGTATTTCAGAACATGAAACACGAATTCATTATATTTATAATTTATAATGGAAAATTATAATATAAATTTGCAGTTGATAAAGGAGCATTTGAACTGCACCCACAATGGGTTATTTCACAGTCGGTAATGTAATCACGGGAAAGCCGGTAACAAGTAGTAACGTCGGTATAGACTTACCTTCATTTCGTGCATCTTACATGGTAACACAGCGGAAAGGTTTATAAACAATTGTTACAAAATGAAAAGATATATTTTAAAATAATGATGAATGTTGTAAAGTATCACATTTTTTTTTTATTTCTTTTAATTTTATATTTTATCTTATTGAAACTCAAAATATTTCTAATTTTATGAAATATTTTCTTTTTTATATTAAATTAATGAATAATATCATTAAAATATTATATTGAAAACTATAATTCACTATGAGATGATAGGATAAGATTCGATAGTTAAAAAAAAAAGATAGTTAATTAATATAAAAAAAGAATCGTACTGCTCGAGAACGATAAAATCGTAAAACCTATATGAATAGAATTTCATATAAATAATGAAATTGGGAAAAAGATAATATAAATTTTTCAATATTTTATGATTAAAAGAATTAAGTTAATATAAATGCATGTATAATAATATATAATGCTAATAATTAAAAATTTTATAAATAATTTTAATGGGATTTAATTAATTATTAAAATAAAAAAAAAAAATCTTATATTTCATAATAATCTCATAATAAGATCTTATAAAATCTCGATAAACAACACAAAGATGAAATATCAATTAATATTAATTACAAATATTAGGATCATAAGAAAATAAAACTTAACATCATTTTAATTGGAAAATTTTTAATCGAGATTTTATATTGTGTAATATTATTTAATATTATTTAATAATATTAAGATAAAATTTAAATAAGAAAAAAATATGAATGAATATGATCCAGTAACATTACATACGAAAAAATAAACATATGAATAATCAAGATTAACGAGTTTTACGAATGGGAAAAACAATTGATATTTTATCGCGCAATTAAAACATTTTATGTAAGCAATAAAATAACGCGAAAAATAAGCGATTTATGGCACACATATTGCTCGATTTAAATAAACCTATAAATCTTATAAAATTATATTTTATTTGTGAACTATTCCGTTCTTTGATTTATAGGAATATTTATGTTATCAATGTAAAAAAATTACTTAGTAAAGTAAATTCAAAGATAGAATACGCGTAAATACTTTTAATAAAATTCATGTGTATATTATTGAATATGTATATAATAAATTAAAGAAATAAAAAGAAACTAACCATATGATGATTTGCGACTAACATCTAAATGGCACATTCCCCCCTGGTATAGCACTGTCGATACGCACCTGTATTCCTTTTCAATATTGGTCCTATTTCACGTTAATCTGAAAATAAATAAAAAAAAAAAGATTTATTTCCATGAATTAATAAGATTAAAGAAATAATGAAAATATATTAATTAATTTGGAATTAATCAGATCCCATCTTACATATTAAATAATTTTTTTTTTTCATTTATAATACATAATAAAATATATTATATGATATATCGTAAAATATTTAAAAAAAAATTATATTTGTGATAGTTAAAAAAAAAATATTTGCAAAATTGCAATACTAATAATGGAATAAAAATCATTACATATAATATAATGATATACATATAAAACATGTTAAAAAATATAGAAATCTATAAAAAAATTAAAAAACTTCGAATTATACATGAACATTCTCAAACGAACAATTTTATAAGTTATTTTGAATTTCAAGAAGATTGCAGGATAAATTATTGAAAAAATAAAAATACAAAAAAATTAAAAATATATATATATATGATTATTTTATAAAAAAAAAAACAAGTATATTGAATAAAAAAGATTAAAACAATGACCTTTTAATGCGATACCATAGAATAAGTTCAAATTTAGTCATGAACATATTCCTTGAATAAAGAAGTGAAAAATATATTTTAATAATGAAAAAAATTTAATTAGCATAGTTTTGATAGATAGGATTATTATTAATTTAAACAAAGAAAAATGGAATTAGTTGCTATCAAATGATTGATCATAATATCATGGCCGATATTGGATCACGGAAAGACATAAATAAATTTTATATCAGGACATATTAATAACAAATAGTACTTGTACATTAAATTAATAGATGAGCAAATAAACATATGCATATATAATACATATCAGATGATTATACCTTCTAAAATAATAGTTTATAACACAAAATCAATATAATTTTTTATTTAAAAAAAATTTGAATATTTTAGAATAACTCATGCAAAATATGTATCATCCAACATTTATATTTATTATTCATATGTATCACTCAATATTTATATATATTTGGAATAACTTATGATGTTTATATGAATAAATAGTTATACAATAATATTAAAATAAAGTATTATTCAAAATCAAAACATATCAATATGTAAAAAAAGTTAAATGTCATAATTAAATATAATTAAAAGAAAGTCTCTCAAAAATATTAATATGATATTTGATTAAATATATAAGAAATATAAATATTTTTGTAATGTCTTAATTTTATCCAATTAAAAATAATAGATTTTTACATTTTTCTTCAACTTTTTTAATGAATGTTATACGAATTAAGATTTTGTATGTTTATTCTTAAAATGATATATATACATAAAATGTATAACTTTTTTTTTATAAATAATATATAAAATATAAAAATATATAATAGATTTTATGTATATTTTATCTACTAGTAAAATGCCACATAGATGTAAAATATAAAATTTGTTATTATGAATTTTAATTTTTAATATTATAATATTGGCTAAATACATAATGCAATCATCAAAATATTTAAAATGAAATACGATTATTTAAGAATATTACAAAATCAATACTTTTGTTTCGAAGCATTCGATGGACGAAGAAAAATATAAAATTATATAGATACGAAATTAGTATTTTTGAATAATAAATAATAAATATAATATATTACAAGAAACATTCGAAAGAGAAAAATTCAAAAAAATAATAAAGTATAAGCAAACGACGAACATTAAGAAGATGAAGAACAAATGGAAGCATTCTAAGATGCAAGAGGTTATATGTATGTTCTAACGCGTTCAACTGTCAAGCAATGCATGCTTGCCTATAGACATTTTATATTAATTTGTATCATTATATCTCAATTTTGATCATATATGACGAAGTATCAGATTATAATAATGATTTGAAGTAACAATTCAATACATGATGTAAACAAATTGATTATCCCTCTTGTTTAGAGGGCGACCATGGAAAGCCAGAACAAACGATTATGTGCAGAATAGCAAAACACTCACCACTGCTTGCGTATATATGCTGACCAATTGAATATTAACTAATTTCCACCCTCACATCGTAAACTGACATACACTGTACCTATTTACTATACACTGACTTAAAAAATTCGTGTAAAACATATAAAAAAAGGCAATAATTAGGAAACTGACAAGAAAGTCGCCATAGTGCTGTGATACTGGGCGGCCATATTGCTTTACTTCCCCTTACTTAATATTTCGCGGGATTTTATAAAATTGTCAAATTGTTTAATTATTTATAAATGAAATAAAATGTAATATATTACATCTTTTTTCTAAAACTTTATATTTATTATTAGATAAATTTCTATATAAATAAAGAAGAATTAAAATTTTTAAAAAGACTATAAATATTATAATTTGTATTCATTAATATTATTAATAATCTAAACTTATTAATATACCTAATAAACTGTTTTTATTATTTTTCACAATAAAACATATATATATATTTTTCTATATAAATATAACACTATAGGATTATGGATTTATTATTTTTTTAGACAAAATTTCACATTTTAAAATACAGATTGTTTTTTTAATTCAGAAATATATTTAATGTATAGTTTATTAATATAAAAAAAGATTATAGTATATAAAAATGATGTTATTCTTTTTCATAACATATTAATTACTTTTCTATTACTTGATTATTAAGAAATTTAAAATTATGGTTTAGAGAAATAGATATAAATACTACAACCATCTAGCAATAGAAAAGTATTAATTAGCAAATATAAAAACATAAAAATTAAATTTCTTTTTTAAATAAAATTTTAATTAAATTAAGATATTGAATTATAGAATCCAAGAAATATTATGAATTTAATGTATTGTTGATTTTTTTTAATTTCGCTTTGTTTTAAAATATTTGAAGAAATGTTCGATTTAAATACACTGACGACATCTTTCGTTGAAATAGCGATACTAACTACACTAGCAATTGGATCGAACGACAAATTTCTCTTCCAATACGATATAAGCTAACCAAACTTTATTAAGCAATATTATAAACCAAAGTTCATGTAAAAACAAGGTAACATTGCTAATTAATAAGCTAATAAATATTGTTAATATTAATAAATCTATGCTTCTTTCTTTTTGTCCAATAACAATTTTTTTTATTAAATTTTATCTCAATATAAAAACAAAATAGTTTAAAAGAAAAATATTTTAAATAAAATAATATATAATTATTATATAGAATAAAAACAGAATTATTTCTATCTTTTTATTTCTATAAATTATTTCTTAAATTAAATAGCTTAAATAAATCGAGAAGCAAAAAATATTTGATATAATACCATTAAAACAACATGATTAATATAATGTAAATAAAATATATAAAAAATAAATTTAATGAAAAAATTTTGATAAAATTATTTTTATATTATATTTCTTATTGCAGATTATTTTGTATGAAATGAAATGCAATTAATTCAATTTCTACAAATCTTTTATATGATATCATACATATTGAATAATAATAGTATATAATATGTATTAAACTAATAAAAAAATTGTTGCAGGTTATTACAATGATGATTTTTGAATTTTTATTCTGATATATTTATATTCCGATGACATGAATGGTTCTTTAATATAGTGTTACAACTTTGTTTAAGAAAATGGCAAATTTAAATCATAAATTATAAATCAAAAAATAAAATATAAATATAACATTCTATTATCTGTAAGTGATCTCATTTTTTACACTTTTCTGATTTCTAAAATTTTATTATTATTGATTATATATATAATAATATATAATAATTGTTATAATTGTATGATAATATATTAAATAATTGTTGATAAATGTTGATTTATTGTTGTTTGATTTTTTAAAAAAATATTTATTTAAAAATAAGATATATAATGTTCATAATATTAATTTTAAGAGTATTTCATCAAATATTTTTATATAAAATAATTTCATAAAACACATATAAATATATATTTATCTCAATAAAATTACTTGTAATTTTAGATGCGCATCTAGATAATTGAAATATTCTTGTCAAAATTGAACTATGATATAAACATGTTCACTTCTAAAATATAATTAACTAATAATTAATTTATTTTAAAATTATTATGCACAAATTAAAATATTCAAAAAATATTTGTTTAATATTTAATAAAATAAAGATATTGAATTTTAACTTTTAAAATAAATAAAAACATTGAAAAAAGAATCAGAATTGTAGAAAAATTCTAGAATACTTTAATAATATTAAGAAGTTTATAAGAATATATAAAATAAAATCACAAAATAATACATCTTTTGTTAAAAAAAAGTTATTGTACAATAAAAAAATAAAATTTTTTGATTTTTGAATTTTAACATATAAGATTACAAATTAAAGTGTGAATTTTTACAAATAATTTAAAAGTAATTGTCAATATTTTCCTCCATTTATAAATTAAAAGAATTTTTCAAAAATTAATCGCAAAACGGACATTCTGGCGTCATCTAGCGGCGAGAAAGTGAAATTAATCGTTAAGAAATAAAATAAAAAATTACAAATTTCTTGGTTTTTAGACAAAATTTTTTTAATTTTAAAAGCTCAAATTAAAGCTCAAGATATTAGAAATAATTTAAAACTAATCACTATCCGATATTCTTGCTGAATTGAAAATTATAAATATTTTTGGAAAATTGTATAAAATACAGACATAGAAACACTATAGCCATCTACTGGTGAATAGCTAGAACTAATTGTCCATAAAAAAAAAATAATAGAAATTAGAAAATAAAATTTTTATGTCTTTCATACATAAAATTTTTTAATTTTTTCCAAGAACTCAAAAAAAAAAATAAATTCTTAGAATTAAATTCAGATAAATTATATGTAAATATTATATAATACGACAACTAATTTCACCAACTTGCCACTAGATAGCGCCACAATATCCGTTTGATGAATAATTTTTGAAATATTTTTAATTTTTAAACGAGAAAAAATATTTAAATATAATTCATTTCAATTATGTTTAACAATTTATGCTTTAATTTTTGAAAGTTAAGAAATTTTGCATATGAAAATCAGATAAATTTTATTTTTCTATTTCTGTTATTACTTTTATGAAACAATTAGTTTCATCTATCCACCACTAGATGTCTATAGCGTTTCTGTGTTCGTGTTTATATATAAGTTTCGGAAGATATTTATAATTTCCAAACAAAAGAGAATATTGAATAGTGATTGTTTTAAACTGTTTCTGAGACTCCTAACTTTAATTTGAGCTTTTAAAAATTAAAAAATTGTGTCTAGAAGCCAAGAAAATTAATAATTTTATTTTATTACGTGACGATTAATTTCACTTATTCACCGCTAGATGGCGCCACAATGTCTGTTTTGCGATTAATTTTTGAAAAATACTTTTATCTCCAAACGGAAAAAAATAATTAGACATAATTCATTTTTAAATTATTTATAAAAATCATTACGCTTTAATTTAAGTAAAAATAAATTTAGAAGTAATGAAAATTGTATTTTTTTATTTTTAATATTTTTCTTACGTAATGATTGATTCCATCCATTCACGACAAAATAGTGAATTTACTATAAATTGTTAATTAATGGTATAATTTTAATAGTGAAAAAAAAAAGAAAAACTAAAATTTTTTGAAAAATTTCGAAGATAATAATTTAATAATCTTTAAATTATAATAATGTAACTTATTATTGTATATTATATATTTATATATAGTATACAGTATTTGAATTCACTTATAAATTTATAATATTTATAATATTACAATATTATAAAATTTTTATATACAAAATTACATATATCTAAAAATTATATAAAAATTTAGTTCAAATTTCAATATTTCAATCATAATATAATATTTTTATATAAAGAAATATATATAGTTAAATGAAAATATTATTTAGTTTTAATGAATTACTTACCTTATTGTTAAATACAAAATAACGGTATCTCAATCAATGAACTGTTTTCACTAATCATTTTATAGAATGATATGATAAAATAAATAATATGATATAATTAAAGATATCTATCTGACATACATATATATAACACATGATATTATATAAGTGATCTTTATTAAGTATTTGTATATACTATATATACTATATATATATACTAGAATGTTTATTGATAAACTAGTATAATTGTTTGAGAAAAACTAAAAGAAACTGAGAATTTCAATGAATATATGAATTTAAATTTATTATGTATATTAGATATTTCATGCAACAAATTGTAAATATCTCAGAATATTTATTTCTCAAGGTAAGAACTTTACATTCGGTATACGGACACCATCGCGTTAAGAGTCGTTACGTGAGTTTGGTTATCCGCTGCTCTACGAAAGCACATAACTTACATAACGAACTCTCGAATGAAGTTTGGTGACTTGCTGCTTCGATTTTAACTTCGTATAATTTTCTTAATTAATATTAACAATTTTTTGACACTTACTTAACAAATTTCTTTAAAAAATTGCGTTTTGGCAAGAATTATTATTTTTAAAAAGCACAGTTATATTCAATACGATTTTTTAAATTCATATTAAGAGGTACTATTTTTACATAAATTAAAATATAAATTAGATTGAAAATATATTTCAACTATATAATTTACATAATTCGTACGAACGTCAAATATAATCTCAAAAACTTTAGTTTAAAGATGCGTTTCCGTTGTTGCTCGTATAATAGAAAGGGTAGCAAAGTTGTAGAGGTGGAGTTTAAAACTCATAGAAATGTGTGTGTGCGTGTGGGTGATGCAGCAGTCTCTTTCCATGTTTCTGATTACTTTACAAACTTTTGTAAAGTACCGGCAATACGAGGAAAGCTTTTAGATGCTTGTTCCTAGTATGTTCTACATAAATCATGTTTCGAAAAAATCGTATTACATTATTCATTAAATTTCATTTACAACATTTAAAAAATTAATAATAAAGTCTGTAATTTGATTGTATATAATTTTTTTAACATTGTTTTCACATAAAGAAATATGCAAGTATGTAGATAAATACATATTGCACAAAATTTTGTTTAGATGTTGATCTACGACTATGTATAGTGTCCTACTTCTATGTCATGAGAGTCGAAAATAGTCGAGTTTTCACGAATCGTCTTGGGAATCTAGTTTCAACTT